TGAGAAGTAAACAGCTCAAGGATAGATAAGTACCATTAGAGAAATGAATTTACTTTTAAAAATGAGTGATAAAACCTAAATTTTTGTTTGGAATAACTCAAAAAATACTATCAATATTATTTAGATTTTTTAAATCTATATTTCAGGGACAATACACGTTAATAATGCACAGAATCAATGTCAAATGTGCCAAATTTAGCCAGAATGAATAATAAATCCCTATAAATGTTCACAACTTTGATTAACAAACAACCTTTTTTATTTTTAGAGAAACCACAATAACTAATTAGATCTTTTAGTTCTGTCTATTCAAGTTATGGGTTCCTCTGAAAGCAAAAGAGAATGGACTACTTGATTGGACTTACTGATTATTTAATAAATAATTAAATAACTGACTAAATAATCACGTGAATGTTGTTTTTTTATTTCAAAAACTGTTGTTGAGTGTTACATTTTCTATTATTTGTCTGTACAACACACTGATGAATCCCCATAAAAAAAAAATGTGTTTATTTGTATACCCTAAAGAAATAATTAGCAACAAGAAATCCTCTCAACCTGCAGCAGTGGGCTGATTCAAGGCATCTTCCTCCATTATAGTGGCAGTGCGATATCTGGTTTCATATTTGTACCTCAAACCTGTTTTAGCTGGAGAGGAGAAGGGAACATTGTGTTCTGTTCTGTTCTGTATATCAATACATTTTCTGTTCTTTGTGTTTAACAAAATGTGTTTATTTTGTTTTGTTGAAGCTTCCAAATAGTTTCAGAAATCGATCACTTACCATCAACTTGGTGCTCCTTTTCATTGACATGACTAAGTGGAACCTTTTTCTGCTGTTCTGGGGTTAGTGTTCCTCGAGAGAAGACCACCTCGATATCAACGCTTAGCTGGAGCTGTCAAACAGAAACACATAATGTCTCATTTCTGAACTTATAGTTTCACAAACATGATTCTGCGTGTTACCTGGAGGGAGTCGAGTTCGCTGATCTCGGAGTAAGGGAGCCAGGCGCGGTAGGTCTCTGTGGTCTTCCACCATAGTGGGATGCCCACCACAATGACCACTGCAGCGATGGCAAAGACAGCATTTCGAACTCGCTGCTTCTCTGACCAAAATGATATAGCAGGGAATATTACTACATTGGAACTAACTTTAAGTTTACATATTCACTGAAACTGAGGAAAACACAGAATGTGCTATTAT